CTCCCATGCCCCCTATGCATGCGCACATAATCCCCACCTACCCACCCACCCCCGCCCCCTTACCTGCACTGCACCTCACAGCTGATTTTCGGCTGGTTTGAGGCCTTTTTCGGTCTCCCAAAGATTCAGGAGGGCTTCTGCAGGCCAAAAACTAGCCCTGTTTTGTCACTTCCTGTTTTTCTGAAAATACCGGAAGTGACGAAACGGGTCTAGTTTTCGGCCTGCAAAGCCTGCAGAAGCCTTCCTCAAGCCTTTGGGAGGCTGAAAAAGACCTCAAATGGCCGAAAATCAGCTGTGAGGCGCACATATGCCCAATGAGGTAAGTTTGCCTGCAGCTCGCATGCCGGCACAAATGGCTCTGCATGCCACCTGTGGCACACGTGCCATATGTTCGCCATCACGGTTCTATGCCACCTCTGTGAAAGTCCCAATGGCCAAATTAGTCTGCTGATAGTTTACACAATAGCGCAGGTATTGGTCTACCAATGAGTTGGCAGCAGCCCCATTGGTACTTGAATGGTAGGCCAAGCTAAGTCCCTGGAAGGAACTTATCATTTAAAAAAAATCCTGCCAAAATTTGGCAGTGAATTGCACCCCCATGTTCGAGATAATGCACTTCTAGACCCCGTGTAGTCTGTGGAAGTGTTGCACAAACATCTTGGCTAGGGCCCAGACAGAAGGAATCTTCAGAAATGCCACAAAGTATGCTTGTTTTCAGAACAGGTTGATGACAGTCTAAATTACTGTGTTCCCAGCAGTATCCATGGATATTTCCTCCCACAGACTAGCTGGGTTGGCTACTGACTCTAGCAAGCCAGGAGGCTTCCCACGTAGACATTTCATGGAGGCATACACAGGGCAACTGGCCACATAGGCTTCTACATCCTTTTTCATCTTTGGCTACCAGAACTGTCTCTAAACCAGGCGAAGAAAGTTCACAAGCCCAAAACGCCGTGCGGATTTTGAACCATGGTTCCACCAAGGTTCTCTGGCTGGCTGGGATGTACATTTTGCTCCCCTTCCAAGCCAAGCCCTCCTTCATCCACAGGTGGTCTTTACGTCTTGGGAACCATTCATCCACTTCCAAGGCATCTTTTAGTGGTTGTATCACCAAGTCCCCAGCCAGCTGCGAAGAGACCGTTCTCTGCTGCCTTGCAAATGCTAGTGCTGAGAACCACCTGGATGGGGTAATGGAATTAACTACCTCCTCTCAGGTACTTCTGTACTGGAGCACGTGAGGGAGGACATCTTGTAAGAAATTCTTCCCACCCGGCAAGTAGGAAGGGTGAAATTGAAGCGGTTAAAATACTGAGGGCAGTAAAATGTCATTTTCCACTCATGCCCCTGGTTTAATCCTCACTCGGCGATAGGCTTCCCTCAAGTCCAGCAGGCGGTTGTAATACAGCTCCTTGTTCAGCCCCTCCTGGAATTGGCAGACCAGCATACGCCAATCTCTTGGGTGAGCTGCCAGGCTACGAAAATCTTGCAGTGCTGTAGGGAGCAGATATGGGTTGCTGCTCATGGGCTGCTGTGGAGTTTTCAAATCTTTCAACACCTGCATGAAAGCATCCAGGTTTTGCAGCTCCGGAGCCCCCTTGTTGTGGACAGACACCAGCCATCCCACTGCATTCCCCTCCAGATTTGATGCAGCGGCATTGATCCAAACATGCTCGTCCAGGTACATCACTCTACGGTGCTCCATATAGTTCCAGACCTGGGTCAGGAAGTGGGCCAAGTTCTTGGGTTGTCCATTGAACCGGACTGCTAGAGGCACTAGGACATCCCCAGGTGGCAACCACACTGTTGCCAGGGGTGCCTGAACAGGGATACCGGCTGTTACTGGGGCTGCGTGTGCTGGCACCTACCCCCCCCCCCAGTGGGGCAGCAGCAGGGACGGGTGTCGCTGTTGTTTGGTAGGGGGCTCTCACCACCCCGGGTGGTGTTGGCAGCATCGGCTGCAGGAGGGGACAGGGTAGGCAACGGTTTCATGGCCTTCACCCAAATTCACCCAATGTGAATGCTGCCCTTGGTGAGGTGGCTCCGGGATCTCCAGCCCACCAAACTTCTCTCTCAGCTGCTCCATAGATGGACTGTGAGCTGTAGCTGGGAACTTACACTCAGTCGGGTGATCCCATTTGGTTGCTCACCTAGCCTTCCACTTGCTCCCTAGGGTCACCGTGGCTCCATCGCCTTCCACAGATAGCTTGCCCACCAACTCTTGGTGCCCAAATAGCGCCCCCCTATCGCTCTCTCCCCCTTGAGTATGGCCTGTTACTCTGGCTTCTCAACCCACTGTCTGAGGTGTGTGCCTGCTGGTTACATCCTGACTTCAGCCTGGGCCATCCTTGGAGGAGTGAGGCTTCCCCTGGCTTTGCCTCCCCGTTCTATTCCTTTTGTCAGTTGCCGGCATCTCGAAACTGCCAACCTCCTGGTGGGGCCCAGGTTAGAGAGCTGATTTAATGTTAATTGTTCAGTTGGCAAATCCAGGAAAAGAAACTCTTGGGATGTTATTTTATGAAGAGTACAAACTCTACTGAATAAATCCACACTGGACAGAAGAAGAGAAACCACTTCTGGACTTCCCACTCAAAAAAGCACGCATAGTTTCATTCCCCACTTTCCCATAATGAACCCTTATGTCCACCAATCACTTCTGCTCATCTTGTTATGGGAGCCTGCCAGCCACACTGGGACATTGGTGGAAGCAATGTCTCATGAGAACCGATGGATGCTTGGGTGCCATTCTCCTCACCCTTGCATTCCATTCCACCCTCTTCCTTGTCAAGCTGCGAGCGAAGTAGAAGGTAGGTGGAACTGTGAGTCAGTCTTACCCCCCTCCCCAAACAGGGGCTTTGGGACAAGTGAGAACCCAGATTTGTTAGCCCCACACTTCTGTCTTCAGGATGTTATTGCAAGGCAGCTGGCAGAAGAACCGAGCCCAAGGCATTAGGAAATCAGCAATCACAGGATCCTTCCTCACTTCTCCAAGCCAGTTGGACGCTGAGACATTTCTCTTGAGAGTAGTTTGGGTGGAGTGGGAAAAAACAGATGCTGTCTTGCCTTGGCCGGGATAACGTTCTCCTGGCAAGACATTTCCACCACAGAGATGAGACGAAATGCACGGAGAAGGGAAAGGCCTTGGCCTTTTTACGATTTCCTTGTTTTTGTTTCAACATTCAGTGTTGGCGCAGACACCGATTTTCCCATTTCAAAAATCTGCCGCTTGCTGGAGAAGCACTCAGAAGCCCTTTGCTCCTCTTATCTTGTAAATGTCACATCACAAAGTTTTTCTGCACATAGACACACCAATTTCCAGAGCATTATGGAAAACAAAACTGGCTTTTTGTTGCTTGTTAAGTTTTCTCCTTAGTTCAATGCTGGATCTCTCTTTATTCAGCTTCCACCCATTGCTTGTAGTCCAACCCTCAGGTTCTTTGGAGAATAAGTTGACCTCTCCTCTATGACAGCCCCTCAAGTGCCGGAAGAGAGGTATCGTGTGTGTCTCGCCCCCGTCCTTCTCTTCAATAGGCGACAGGTACCCAGCTCCCTTAACCGTTCACCATCGCCTTTAGCCTGCAGATCCCTCATCATCTTCGTTGCTCTTCTCTGCACACTTTCCAGGGCCTCTCAACATCTTTTTGGTATCACGGTGACCAGAACTGGACTCTGTAAGCCATCAACTGAATCTGGAGTCCGGCTGCCTCCACCCCCAATACGGGAAGTGGGTCTCCCACGGTTGTGCTCATCACTCCTGCTGAGCAGGCCAGGATTTGTACATGGCATAAAAAAAGGGTTTGTTCATGCAAAGTGGCTGTGCTTGGCTGCCTGGATTCCTCCAACTTGCTGGTTTAAAGTGGCATTAATCTGTAGCTTGGTTGCCTAGCAACTTGGTTGCCTGGCTCTGTTGCCTAGGAACACCAGCACCCTTGTATGGCCATAGCTGCTCTGGAGCTCCTGGCCCAGGATGGAAGGCTGGGCCCAGGCCAGGGGGGGAGGCCAGCCTCCAGGGGCAAAAGCCAGACTGGGGCCCCTCTATTCCATGGCTGGGAAGGCTGGGAATGGGACGCCTCAGCAGCAGCAGCACCCAAGGAGGATCCATCCCGGCCCGCCAATGGTGTTGCTTCCATCCCAGCCCAGAGTGGGACTTTCACGGCTTCCCTTTTTGCCTCTTCGGCCGCCGCCTGCAGCTCTCCCGCCGGGGCTCCTGGTGCAGCTCAGACGATGCAAGGCAGCGGCTTCCCTTCAAAGGGGAGCTGGACCCAGTTTGGGGGACGAGGTTCGGCCCCATTTTGAGCTGGTGCCAGGCCCGAACTCTGGCTGGAGGAGGGCAAGGCCTCGGGTACCGTACCATCCGCTCCGCTCCTTCGGGCACCGCTTTCTGCCCCCGGAGCCAAAGGCTGCCTGGGAGCCCCTCGCCCGCTGGTCAGAAGGCGCCTGCTTGGGCCTTGGGGGCAGACTGGGATGCTGCTGTCCCAGAGCCCGCTGGGCTCCGCCCGAGGTCCCCCGCCTCCTGCCTAGCCACCCGGCCCGTCCACAGAGCGGCAGGCGGAGGAGAGTCCGCCCGTCGCCTCCCAGGCCTCGTTCTGCGCCGAGGACGGAGCGCCCCTCCGAGGCTTCCTGGCCGAGGCAGCCGAGGGGCGGCCGGGAGGGCAGCCGCCCGTGCCGGAATCAGCCTGGAGGCCTCTCGGGTGGCGGCGAGAAGGCGGGCCGGCTTCCCTTCTCCGCTGCCGGCAGCTGGCGAGGCCGGGGTCGCAGCTGGAACGCGGGCGGGGCCAGAGCCGGCCGGCCCTCGCCTCCCCCCGGCCACGCGGGGGCCCCGGCAGCGCCGCCTGCGACTTTAAGGGGAGCGGCCGCGAAGGAGGCGCCAGCCGCCGCAAACAAAGGGCGGCCCGCCGGGGGAGGGACCGGAGCCCGCGCCCACTCGCTTCATTCAGAGCCGGCCCAGGCGCAGCCGCCGATGCGGAGCCGCCGAAGCGCCGCCCGTCCTGCCAGGAGGCCCCGCCGGCCGCCGCCTCGGCCCCTCCGCCGCGGGATGCGAGCGCGCCACCGCCGCCGCCGCCAGGGCTGAGGCTGCGGGCGGGGCGGGGCGGCCATGGGGCTCCCGGCGCTGGAGTTCAGCGACTGCTACCTGGACAGCCCGGCCTTCCGCGAGCGGCTGCGGTGCTCCGAGCAGGAGCTGGAGCGCACCAACCGGTTCCTAAAGGACGTGGTCAAGGACGGCAACGCGCTCATCGGGGCCATCAAAAGTAAGCGGCGCCCAGACCCCCCGTCGCCCCCTCCTCCCCCCGGCCGGCCCCTCGCTCGGGCAGCCGCGGGGGGAGCTTGGCCCCCTTCGAAGATGGCGATGGAGCGGCGTTCGGCTGCACCGGAGCGAGCGCGGGGGCTGGCGGTCGTCTCGGGTCCGCCTCGCGGGCTCCGTTCGGGGGCGCTTCGATGGGAGACCGCGAGGACACGCCGGACCGCCGCCCCGCAGCCGTCGGGGGCGGTGGGGGGTGGTGGCTTCTGCATCCCTGGTGGGAAAGGGCGAGGAGGGGGAGCCTCGCCTGCTTCTGCGCCCCGCGTCTCCGGGTCCCGCCGGCTCTTGCGGGGCTGAAGGCCCGGCTCAGCGCTCTGAGAGGGCGCCTGGTCAGACGCCGCGGTCTGCCCACATCCGAAGCCCCGGTGTCTGCAGAGCCCAGTTAAGGCGCCGGCGGTGCAAGTGGGGCGTCCCCGCGGCTGGCTCTGGGGCCGAGGGGCCTCGGGCACGTCCTGGCCTTGGTGCTTCGTGGCTTGAGTTGGGTCATGTGGGCGTAAAACCTCCCGCGGGGGCGGCTTCCCGAGGCTCCTGGGCCAGGATGAACGAGCGAAGAGGGCCGGGAGGTTGGTCGTGTGGGAAACCAGTGGGGCTCCCTGGTGGACGGTTGGGCTGCTGCTTTGGCCTGGCTTCCCCTGGGAAGGGCTGGAGGCGCCGCGTCTCTCCTGAGGTGGGAGTCCGGGGACGCAGGTGCCCAGGGAGGCCGCGTCCCGCCTGCAGAGAGGCATCCTTCGTGGGTGCCGCCAACCTTACGGCTCCCAGGAGTTCTGCTTGTAGGGCCTGTTTTGGGGAGCAGAGGAAGAGCACCTTGCGTGCGTGGAACCCCAGGACAGGCCACGTCTCTGGAGGACCCCTCCTTCCCCGAGCTTCGTAAACATGTAATAGGCAGGGTATTTTGTTCAAACGTTTGCCTGAGACCCAGATGGTGTGGCATGTTTCTCACTCCTGAGCAATGGAAGCTGCCGAAGGAAGACATTTCTAGGCAGGATGCAGCTCCAGGAGGTGCCCAGCAGAAGATGCAGAAGTCTGTTGGGAGGGGATCCTGCCAGCTGCCCTTCTCCAGTGAGGGTGAGGGGGCTTCTCTGCAGGGAAGGAGGTCTGCTAACCTCACACTCCTTCAGAGTGAGCTGCCTGCAGATTTCTGTGTGTGTGTGTGTGTGTGTGTGTGTGTGTGTGTGAAAGAGTAGCCTTGTTTGGGATGCCAGGGACATTTTCAACCTGCTCCCCTTTACCCAGATGAAAGAGGAACGCTGGTCTTGCGGGGGCAACCCTCAGGCATGGGTTCAAACCTTGGCTAAGCTCTAATCTGGGCCACTTACTTATGGCCGGAAGGGTCCTGTAGTAGTCCCAGCGCCCCAGTCTATAAAACACAGCTTATGATTTACCCAATGTGTAGACCCAGCTTACTTGTAGCTTATTCAGTAAACCGTGGCTACATAAACCAGGGTTCGTTTTGAGCAAAGCCAGCCCTATAGTAAGGTGGGTAGATTGGAAGCCAGCTTGCTTGCCGTCCCTACCTTTCCATTCTCAAGGCTCCTCTTTCTCCCTCTCGGCTTTTCTGGTTGCCTGTGGCCAGTCCTGAGGAGGTGGAAGTGACTCAGGGCTGCCCTTGGGTGGGCTTGGAGAAGAAGTCAGCCCAACTGGGGGTTTCCTTGGCTGCTCTGCTTTGAGAGAGATTCAGGAGGTGGACTCAGAGCTGCCAGGGCTGCCCTTGGGTGGGCTTGGAGAAGAAGTCAGCCCAACTGGGGGTTCCTTGGCTGCTCTGCTTTGAGAGAGGTGGATCTTCTAAGCGTTCCCTGAACACCCCCTTTCCTGGCATCAGATCTCAGCTGAATTGGCGTGGCTGCCTGAACAGCTCTGGCTCCCAACTCCCACAGATGTGGGGCTGGCAGTGTTATTATGGGCGATCATAAATGTGGCAGCTTCTGGGTAGAAGAGGAGTCAGGGCTTTGTGGCCAATCCTGCCATCTCCAGGAAAGATTTGTGTGAGAGATTTGAGCCAGCTAAATCCCAAGGAAACATGAGGAAAGCTGTGTAGATTTGCTGGCATTTTGTATGCTGTCAGCCAGGTAGGAACACCAACTTGGTAGTTCAGAGTTTGCTCTCAGATGGTTATTGACTGCTGTCACTGCAGAGGCTCTTGGAAACGCAGCTTTCTGGAAGGAAGGCAGTGAGCAGCACGTACTGTCCTGTGCTGTGTTGGCTGAGGCATTCTGGGAGTTGAAGTCCATTCACCTGGAGGATGCCAAAGCTGGGAAGGCAGTGAGGCTAGGACAGAATCATGGCGCTCGTCTGCTGACAACAGCCAGGATCTCATGGCGTCTTTGAAAAGTAGCCATGCTCCATCTGCACACCCATCTGGAGACGAGATGAAGCGTGCAGATCCTGGGAGGAACCTTGTCATTCACGGCTGAGCTACAGTGCAGTGGACGTCACGCATTTGGGAGTTGCTGGGTGATTTTACTCCAAGAAGATCAGGATGTATTCTTTGATTACAATTGTTGATGGCCGTTTCTCACTCAGTGGCCTAGCTGGCTACGGTGGGCTAGGTGGGAAGTCGAGAAGCTTCCTGGATTCTGAGCACCGTAGTATTAACTCGGTCAAACCACTTTCCTGCAAGAGAAGTTAGACTTTGAGAGGTGAGATTTCTGTTCTCGGGAACAGCCCCACAGAATGCCTGGGTTGAAAAAGGCACATGTCTGTTTGCAGAAATATTTAAAAACAGTGATGGATTTTGGAACACTCCAGATGCAATGAAACCAGCGGTGTGTCATTTAAACAGCTGTAAGCATTGCGCTACTAATTAATAGGCAGAAGAACACAAAGACACTACAAGAAGCAAAGGCTTAAGCCCCCCCCCCCGCCCATGTTCCTAAATACCTGCCTTTGATTTCAGCCTCTTGTCCATTCCAACAAGTCTCAGGAGACGGGTTGGGTGGTAGAAATACCCAGAAATGATGCTGTTTCACCAGTATTGTGTCTTTGATGTGTGTCTTTTGAAAGATGCATATGCAGAGCCTGAGAGAATCTATAATCATAACACATCTGTGAGAAATAACAAGTGGGGTGTGCAATTAGATACGTCTTTATTATAGAGGGCAAAAGCTCCGTTGCAGGATAAGTCAGGTCTGGAGGCCTCACCAAATTGCTCTGTAACTTCTGGCATGGCCTGTAATTGAGACACAAGGGCTGAACTCTTATTTTCCTTCATTTCAGAGGAGTGCAGATTCCAAATACGTGGGTGTTTTATTCTGCTAGGTCAAATCGTCATTAATAGAAGCAAATATCTCCTTAGAGCTGATCTGCTGCCAGGAAAGTCTGTGGAATAGCTGGAAATAATAATTGCCTAAGTTCCCAACAAATGGAAATGACACATTTCTGAACCTCTCGGAAGCAGCAAGTTGCTTTGAAACTCGTCTCCAGAATAATACATTTTACGATTTTTCTTGCCAGAGTTTGTTAAGTGAATTACTGAAATTATTAACTTAGTAACACAGTTGTTAAGTGAATCTGGCTTCCCCATTAACTTCGCTTGTCTATAGGTCGCAAAAGGAAATCACATGACCCCAGGGGAGTCACGTCGTCTGTCCGACCGTCGTAATACGAAAGCATTGCAATTTTGACCACGTGGTCATAGAGATGCTGCAAAGGTCATAAGTGTGAAAAACGGACATGTCACTTTTTTATCCCGTTGTAACTTTGAACAGACACTAAATGAACTGTTGCAAGTTGAGCACTAGCTACTTGAAGGGCTGTCACAGGAATGGGGGGGCGTTGATTTATTCTCCAGCACCTACAGGCAGGACAGGAAGCAACGGTGAGGGAGGATATTTAACCTGGAAATAACCTGGAAAGGAAGAATTTTCTGACAGTGAGAGCAATTCATCCATGGCACAATTTGCCTCCCGGAGTGGTAGCTGCTCCGTCACTGGAGGTTTCCAAGCAGATACTGGATGGCCATTTGTCTGGGATGGAATAAGGACTCCTCCCTTGGACATGAGGTGGGATTAGAGGTCCTGCAAGCTCCCTTCCAGCCCATGATACTATCCCAAGAAAACAGAGGCTATTCTATATAGTTGCTGATGTTACGTCTGTTTGTGCTCCTGGACACTTCTAAGAATCTTTTCAGAATTGTTTCTGAAGCATTGCATAGTCCTAGAAACTTTAATTCTGTTGTCCCTCTTCTCTTTTTGGTGCCTAAGTCTTAGGATTTCCCTGAAAAAGCTTCATATACTGAATGTTGCATTAGTAACTACTCTTGCCAGTTACTTTGGTACGGGTAGCCCTTAAAATTAGCTCAGAAATTATTTGTGGATATTTTGATTTATTTTCAGTATTTGTTAATTATCCCAGCCAGAGCTCAGTGAATAACAAAACAAAACATTTAGCTCTTTAGCTTTTAATTTAAAAGCTGCCCAAGTCCCACATGACTCTAGGTCAGGGGTCGTCAACCTTTTGGACCTCAGGGTCCACCGAACTCATCATTTTAAATACCGCGGACCACTAATACGAATTTTGACTGATGGTGGCTTGCTGACGGTGGGACTGGCCCTTTGGTCATCCCAGAGCAGCTGCTTCTCCACCCAGGTGCACCAGCCTGCCATGGACTGGAGGAGCTGCTCCGGGATGACCAAAGGGCCAGTCCTGTGACTGCTGCAGCTGTGGGATATGGGACCCACTTTCCCACCAACATCAGCAAGCCACCCTGGGGGCGGATTTACCTCCCCCGCTTACCTTCCAGTTCAAGCTCACATGGCTCTATTCAAGGTAAAGTTTGCGCCTGGCTGAAGGGTGGGGGCCATGTGGGTGGCGCAGCCTTGTGTTCCTGTGCAGCCTGGATTAATTGCTTTGGGGGGAGAGTTGCTTTGGGGGGGGGCATTTCTCTGCGGACCACCAAAATTTTCTCGCGGACCACCAGTGGTCCCCGGCCCACTGGTTGGTGACCACTGCTCT